TTGCTTCTCAGTATAACGACTGTCTGGGTACACGCAGCAAAGCGTCTAGTTTCACTGAAGACACCATCCTGCCTATTCACTCGTGAACCTTGCCATCTTTTAAAACCAAAATCAAGTCACAGTCTTTGATGGTCTTCAAACGATGAGCTATAGTGATAACTGTGGAGTACTTTAGTTTGTCACGCACTACGTTCCAGATTGTTTGTTCTGTTTCTGGATCCACGTGTGCAGTGGGCTCATCTGAAATGATGGTCTTGCTTTGTAGCAGCAGCACACGAGCCAAATTACACCAATACATAGCATTTGAAAATCGGGAAAATTATACTCCCTTAAAACACAGACTAACTTATCCTTGACGATTGCTTCTGACTCTCTAAAGTTGACAGTTTTAAATCGATGGGTTTCCTGGAAGATCGTGGATCGTGGATCGGGGAACCCAATTCATAATTTATGATACTTAAATAAATAATAAATAAATAAATATGAATGATAACAATTGCGAAAACTTCTTGCAATGGAATAAAACTAGTACAAATTATACTGACTTGTACTTGTTGGTCTTCTTGTTCAGTCATTTTAGCGCGTTCAATAGAAACGCGCAGCGACACAATGGACGCTAAAAAAGACAGCAATTTTGAGGTCCTCTTTCACACAAGCGCGTATAGTTGTGTGACAACGGGGGCTAAGACTGGATTGAAGGTTTCTAGTTGATGATTAAAAGTGCACTTCAAAAAATACACTGCTGTTTATTCTTTGTTTTTTGTTCTGACCCTAGTTAGTCCACACACGTTGATTTTTTTTTGCTACGAGTTATTTTTCTTCGAACGCGGAAGCGATGCGCGCTTGGACCGCAAGAGCGACCGCGAAGCGGGCACAAAAAATGTCTTTCCTCAGCCCCACCCATTTGTGTTTTGGTTCGTTCATGTCCCACGCGCCGGTTTAACATTTTGTTTAGCTTGCGAATACAAGACAAAATAGAGGGCCTGTGGACAGGCTATTCGGACTCTTCCATGCGGGCGCAGGGGTCGGCGCAGGGGTAAACAGCGTGTGAATTTGCTTGAAGGTGCGCAGGGCGTGGGGAGAGCCTGTGCCTCCACACCCTCCAGGCTGATCTTACGGTGCTTGCTACGGCGGTACCGAAGCTTTGTAAACCATTCAGCTAGGTCTTTGGTTAAGTACTTCGACGATTTAGATGAAAACCCTTTAGTATACACGATGGAACGCACGGTGTGATGAGCAAGCAAAAACAGCCCGAGTGGCAAAAACGCCAAGGGGAAAGCTCAGCGCTATGTAGAACGGAACACGTACATTTGGCGGGATGCGCGGGAATTACAAGAGAATAGTATGGAAAAAACACGAGATGTGAAAAAGATCCCTAGGGATGTCGCAAAGTATTAAGGGCCTGTTTACAAGGAGAAAGGGTTACCCTAGCAAGCGGGTTACCCTAACATTCACACATTTCGTCTTTTTTTCTTCGTCGTGTTTACAAGGACCCTGGCTGGCGGGTTAACTTTTTCCCTTGTAAACACTCCAGGTAGGATTAACCCGCCTACCGGGAGTTAGCTTTCTACTTGTTTCCAGACCCTTTGAGTGTAACCGCGCATTACGTTGTCCCGAGTTGTAGGGTTACCCTACCTGTGAAATTTTGCTTGTAAACCCTGGCTATCTTTTGCCCTCCAGCTGGGTTAACCCGCTTGCCAGGGTAACCCTCCCTACTTGTAAACAGACCCTAAATGCTTTTGAAACTCAAAGTGCAAGGCTAACGTCGGAGGGAACCCACCGGGAAACCATGAGAGATCGCGCGAACAGGACAGCCGTGTGAGCTATGCCGAACGTTGATTATCACCTGGGTCCCGTTTCTCGAAAGC